GCACATGATTGGGTATTCAATGTAAACAGGAATTGCGTTTCACATGCTTTGATTAAAGTGAATATTCATATAATTTTTCAGGTGAAGATTCTCAACTCCTTCAGTAAATCAGCCCAAAGGTTGTAATGAGCCCTCAGGCTGGGTTCACACTTTTGCGGCGTATTAACACAAGATCGTTGACATTTATTACTTTGCCCGTTACCATGCCTTGTGTCAGGGAAGCCCATTCTGGGAACCAGCTGCCTATTGCACCAGAACCGACGCATGGGGCTTTTTCCTTTTGGAATGCAGCGCACCACAACACACGGTAGTGTGTTACTTTGTGTTGTGATGCGCTGCAAAGCACATGTGTTAGCAAGGTGCATTGGAGTGCTGTAAAAAATGAATAGCACTGCAGCACCCCAACATGCAACACGCATTACTGCAGTGCAAAGGTTTGAACCCAGCCTCAATGCTTATTTTTAACGCAATTGTAGATAGATAGATAGATAGATAGATAGATAGATAGATAGATAGATAGATAGATATGAAAAAGGGTTAAATTTTCACTTGTAAAAAGTTGGAATACCATGCTGGGATTTCTAGTGCCCCTGCAGATAGACAGAGGTTGCCTGAAAATAACTCAGCTAGTGAATTTAGATAGATAGATCTATCTTTTAGAACCAACCTTTTAGAATCAACAATTCTCAGCCTTTTATTTTTCCCATACCTCTCAATAATTTATATATCCTTTATTTGTGTATGTATATATGTATCTGATCTCTTATATAAACAACCCTTGCTAAGGCTTCACATATATCACCACTCATCAGAACTGTCTTCTTTTCCTCTCCACTATTGTTCTCCATTTTATTATCATCATGATTTAACTTATATCATGTGCTCATGTATGAACACCACTACCTTAGACAAACTGAACTGCACTAATGCTTTTAATGGTCCCATTTGTAAAAGTAGATAGAATGTAAGTGGGGATTTCCTAATCAGTAATATCTTTTTTCCTCCCTAAAGGTCAAGCCCGTGGCTGGCTGAAACGATAATATCCGTCATGCTGTAGGCAGGCTCTTTGCCCCCAGACGTATAAGAATGGTGAGTTGGTCCCTGCCTTCTGCGGCAATCGCAGTGGGATGCATTCATATAAACCAGGTTTTATAGTCCTTCCAATGACCTGGAGCCATATTTGTGTGCAAGGATAGGGATGTGTCTCTCTGTTTAGTTTAAGGGACCCTCTGTGGCTGACAACCAGTATAAGGATCATCGGTGACCAGAGCCCCACTTTCCCATCTTAGACCCACTTCTTATATTGTCTTTCTAATTGGCAAGCAGGACCATATCGTGTCCAAGGGTCTCCTGTGAAACATTTCCACAGCTTGCCCCTCCAACTAGATGCTTATTCATGTCTCCTTAATGAGAAACAAAACGATCTCTAATGAGCAATTACATAGCGACAGGACTGTTCCCATAACAAATTCTTCTGTGTGACAGAAACATCCATTGTGGAGAACATTGGGCAGACACTTCTAGGCTGCACACAAAAAGCAGGTTGTGTCCCTGCACCTAGTCTGAATGAATAAGGGATCATCAGGGGTTGGGGAGAGTAGGAGTCCTATATAGGAGATTCTGGAAATTAATTGCATTCCCTTTCCATTGTCATCTATATACACCATATGGAATGTCTACGAGGGAAAAAAAAGCATATAGAAAAGTGCAGTAACCCATAGCAACCAATCAGGAATGACATGAGCTGTTCTAACTGTCTAAACTAATAAAGATGGAATCTGATTGGTTGATACTGTGATTTGTACTGCCCCGTTGTATAGGGGGGGGAGGGGGGGGGGCAGCCATTTT